TTAGGTTAGAAGAAAACCTAAAGAAGAAGCTCTAAGCGGGTTAAGACGTTAAAGGAACTAACACAAAACTTAAGAATAAAGCTAACGCCAACGCATTTGATTAATGCCCATCTGGTGCCAGTGGGTTACTCTAAGGTACTTTATTTTTCAGCTCCGTAGTGAAGATGAGTATTTTTGGTTTATGTTATTTATTTTTTTTTTTTTCTAAAATGTTTAATCAAATCGAATAGAAAAGGTAATAAGAAATTTTTATAAATCACAGTGAATTTTTTTATCTACTTAACATGAGATAAAAAGAGCTTTACCAAATAACATACTTAATATTAATTATACATAGTAAAAAATCGGTCAAAGAACAAGCAAATATATAATCCAAAAATTTGTACAATTTATTTTTATTTTATTTTTTCAAGTATAAAAAATTAATCACGTTTAATGAACATTTACATTTTAGTCTAAACGATGTCATTCAAGAAAATCACATTGACTTCTGACATTTTTCAACGATACGTACAAAATCTAAAAACAAAAGAATAATATATACATATGTCTATTATAACATATATATATATATATATTTGTTTATTTGTTAAACAACACATAAAAATATTCTTACAAATTTTTATAAATTAACAACCAATTGTTGCTCGTGCAAACGGGCGGCCGCGGCGTTGAGCAATTTGTTTTGACAGTTTATCTGCGGCATGTAATCTTGGAACTTGGAACTTTTGTGGTTGTTTCAATATTGACGTTTAATTAAATTTTCTGGTAAATTTTATGCCAAGCCAATTTAAAGGTTTGCCAATTTATGAATTTTTAAAAAGTTAACGTTTTTGCTATGTAATTTTTATTAATGAGACTGTGCGCTCTTTGAATGATTTTATCAAAAAAAAAAAATTAAATTCAAGTTTGTCATTTGATTTAAAAATAACCAAATTTTAATATTTATTAAAAATAAATTTTATAAATAAAATACAAGTAATTGAAGTGTAAATTAATATTGAATATCATATAGATGTATTCATATTCAATAGTCGGCAGACTTTAAAGTGAAGACACCATTTGAGTTGTGGATTATAAAAATTGACCAAGACTATATTTCTAAGTTAAAAGTTGAGTTGCTCATTAATACTTGATTCTACAAATAAATGATACTATCCAACTATAGTAATAATTACAATATCGCTTTACAAAATAAATTCAAATATACAACGTATAATAAAGGTTATTATATGTAATAAGGATTCAAATTATTTAATTAATATATCGTTTAATTAATATGTTCACTATTCACTAGCATTAAATAAATGTTGATATTGACATGTTACAAATATTTCTCGACAAAACTTCTATTGTCAACTTAATCCAAATTTTCATTAACTCACTTTATTTTATATTTCACAATAAATAGTTCTTGCACAGGATAATCACCACATCACAGAATTGCACAGTCTCTTTCCGGTGCAGATTAATTGAATAACTTGACATAATAACATATTATATATTAAACATAAGAACTGTTTACAACTTACTATGTAGTATTTGTATACTGCATGGCTGAAAGACCTTCGGGATCGTATGCGGACGTTCAGCGGACCTTTGCAATCCTTTGCAGGCTCTTAAAAGTTTATTGCTTAATAAGCTCATCTGATAAATGTTATATAGGTAACCTTGCTGTGTTGGTGTCAGAATTAAACGCTGATGTATATAATTTCTGCTTTTTAGAATCAATAGATCCTGGGGTGTTTAAGTTTTGCTTTTTAGAATCAATAGATGCATAATTCAGAACTGTAACTTGTTCTTTATAATCAGTTGTAATATTCTTAATACTTCGGTGCAGCAGTTGAAATGGAATCTCTAAGGGTTGCTTTAGGGGAGCTTGCAAAAATTCATAATTCCTTGCAGTCAGGTCACTCGGAATATAAGCGCCCGCGATGCTGTTTATACTGTGATTAATCATTTTGGTCTAAACTAATGCTGTTCCAAGATTCACAACGAAATAATCATCATCTGATTTTATACATATATGCAAAAGCAACAAGTCTGAGATTCAATAGGGTTTTTAGTTTAATATTTTGGCGGAGCTAGCACTAATAGTCTGCATCCTGTTATTAGTAGAATTAGTAATAGTAATAGTAGTATTTTTCGCATTTCATTTAATCATTCCATTGGTTTGTATATGATGCTTTGTCTTATGATAATATCTTATCCTGAATAATCGGTAAGTTCACAGAAAATCCTTGATTCAAACTATCGCCTTAAACTCTTTGTGAGATGTTCAAAAGTATACTGCTCAAACATCAAAAAAGCTGGAGCTATTATTTTGACAATTATATTTGGATTAGATACCATAGCAGAGTAAAGTGAAAAATAATAAAATGTTTTAAAATGTTTTAGTTAGCGGACTAAGTTTGATTTTTGGCAGTTTTTCATTTTCACTACATCCTTCATCAAACTCGACCCAATGATAATGGCTTCACTCAATCTATGCGTTCTAAATTCTATATTTGTCAAGTCAGTAAAGTGAAGACACTAATTGGCAACAACTGGCTGGAATAAACTGTTACACAAAGCGACTACATATAGTCAGTTATAGGAATATATATAGGAATAGATAGTTTGTAAGCCACGACCTGCCTAGATATTTCTGATTGGGTGTCTATATAGATATGGAGTCTTTTCATTTTTTGTGTCTTCACTAGTATGTTGGTTTCCACTGCTTCACATCTAAGTGTTGCCTCAGCGTTAACGATATGACGAATGTTCGGTTGAGCACTGATGTATGAATTTCAATCGCCTGGTTCGTGTCTCTGATATGTTTTTGCTACTAAACTAAAGCAGAAACACTAGCAGCTTAGCTTCTATCAAAATTATGTATTTCTAGTAATCATCAAGTGCTCGCTTGAAATATTGGATAAGAGTCAAAGAATTGAAAACAGCTACAAACAGATTTTGTGAAATATATTTTGACCAATATATCTTTGGTTTGATATAATAACATATGCCAAGAAAGTCGTATTCTTATCACCTATATTACTAACATAAACACATAGGCAACAAAGTGGAAAAAAATGATGGATCAATACTTTGACACAGAGTGTCTCTTATAAGTCCTGTGTTCTTAAGAATAGTAAAAAAGAGTAGTTTTAAAACTATATTTATAACAAAAAATTCAAAGCTTTTTATACAACTTATCAGAACTTAAATAGAACGCAAATAAGTATCTGAAATGAAATTGTATAATTAATATCTGAATTGATTTTTTACTCGTTTAACTTTTGTTAGTGCAATAAATGTGTTTTAAATTTTAAATTTATTATTTTTCCAAAAATGAATTCTTTTTGTTTATATTTATTTTTTTGTTTTTTTTTTCAACTTTAATATGTCGAAATAAATTAATTTCAGCAACAACAAAACTCGTTTAAGAATATTTTTAATTAATTGAAATCATTGATTTTTATTGCTTCATATAGGCCACGTTTGCGTTTTTCCAACACATAATATTTTATTTTAATCAAAACTCAGGCGTGAGCATAATTCACTTCAACTGCATATTTGAGTATCTGAGGCTCTGAGTTTTCCATATAGTTTTTGCCAAACGCACACGAAATACACTGATAGGCTTCACATATGAAGTTGACGTAAATTGTGTAAAAATTCAGACAAATATCTACACGCCTGACATGCAAACGCAATCGATAAGCGTACTAATAAATTTACAAAAAAAAAAAAAAAAATAAAAGGGAAACTATATAGAAGTAAAGAAGTTAAAGCACAATATTTTCAAAATTTTTGAACTTAAACTGAATAAAAATAATTAAATTTTCTTATATCAATTTAGTTTTTTGGGTGCAGTTTTTATTTGTGGTTGCATTTGGGTTAAATGCCGCTTTTGTTTCTCAAGCGCAGTTTCATTAATTTGCCATGCCACAAATTCATTGGGTTTATGCGGGTTAAGATAAAATCAAAAATCAAAAATCAAAGAATTTGAATGAATATGAATTGCATTTTAATTAAATTATATATAAATTGATCGTTCCTCTTTCTCATTTCTATTAGCCGGTGTTTCTAACCAAATTGTTTTCCCTACTGCTTATATATTAATAACATTTAAAATCGCAGCTTACTAAATTGACTTTTATTTTCATTGCAGTTTAAATATTCCAACATAAATGTATGCTATATCAACAACGTGCTCATTCTGCCTCTCGTTCTCGTCATTGTCCTCGTCGTCGTCGTTCCGCCGTTGTCGTTGTCATCATCAACAGTAATGGAATGGCAACGTCATTGACATAATCATCATTATAATCTTCATGGCAAATATAAAATGTCAACAACATTAGAAACGGCAGCAATAACGACATCCGCATCCGCAACCATACCGAACTCTGCATCAACTATGAACCTCGTTAAAAGTGTATTAGGTATAATCTCGTTCAAAGGACCTTTTAACTGCATTAGCTGCCATCAACAGTGCTTCATATAAAAATACGCGAACGTGTCTAGATTTTGTCATTTGAAATTTTTATTATTTTTATTTCTAAACTCATTTGTTTAATATTCGGTTGCTGCGTATTGTTCAAATATATATGGAAATAGTGCAAAAAAATCCACTGAATTACGCATAAGATTAACATTTAAAGCCTTCTGAAAATTCACGCGGTATCTGCGCGGTATTTGTTTAAAATTGACATTGAAGCAGAGAACATTTTTGGGTTCAAAGTGAGTTTTCAAAAACAAAAAAATAAAAACCAAGTATTACTTAAACCCAGTCTTCTATGTAGAAGTCTTCATAAATTTTTATGATTGTACGCGCGCGTATATTTTTACGATCCTTAAGAAACAAGTGTTGCCAATTAAGTGAATTTTTCATATGCAAAAAAAAAAATAAGGCATACAAAATCAAGCAAAATGTAAGTGCTTTTAACGAAATTGATTTAAATTGCACAAAATTTTTGCAATATAAAAAGTGAAAATCAGAAAAAAAATAATAACAAAAAATAAAAATACCAAAACAATTTGCATTAAAATTTCGCTAAAGTGTTAAAAAATCTATTTTCCGGAAATTGCATGCTTGTTCCTCCGACAATTTTCACAACAAACGCGTTTAATCCGAAATAAACGGTAGTGCATGCAACAAAGTTGGCGTGTCAGTTGCAAACAAGCGGGCCAACAACCCTCACACTATAGTCAGCAATTGTGTTTATCGGCCACAAAACGAACCCATGCAAAACTAAGCCAAACTGCATATAATAGACGCCATTTTGTAACGGTAATTGCACAGTACACGTTAATTTAACATACCACACACTGCAATTTTGGAAAACGTGTACGCACTGTGAGGTGTTCAAGCAATCTACACTAAATACACTGAATACACTGAACACACACATTGCTGGAGCGAATCTCAACAAAGCGACTTTATTTTGAACGCGGCAGACGGACCAGGACACACAACGTCAGTCAATATGGCCGTTAGTAATATTGTCTGTGAATGGCTGCGTGCACTTGGCTTAGCACAATATGCCGAAAGTTTTCTTGATAATGGTTATGATGATTTAGAAATTTGTAAGCAAGTCGGCGATCCCGACTTGGATGCAATAGGTGTAGAGAATCCGACACATCGCCATAAGCTGTTGAAAAGCATACGTCAATTGCGTGAAAAAGGTGCTGCATCTGTGTATTTTATGTTAAATGATCCGAACTCACTGTCGGGTAGTATGGAAATATTATGTGAAACACCACCGAACGAACTGGATTTAGTATTGCGCGAGCAATTGGAAACTGATGGCGTACGCTTAACAGCACATCCGTATTCTACACCGGTAAGTGCTATTCTTATAGTGAATCTATTTATATTTATTATAAATCAATATAAAGAAAAAAATAGTTTTAAAAGAGACAGTTTAAGCAGTCTGCTATATATGATTTTTCATTTCCTCAGTAATCATCATCAAGGTACTAAAAAAATATCAGAAATTATTATAATTTGTAATAGCGGCTAGTTTAACTGAAACCACGCAGGTGTTCATATAACAAAAAAAAAATGGAAGTCTTAAGTGCCTAATAGGGACCGTACCTCGAAGTAATACTAACGTGGTTTAGTTCGTGCGAGTCGGGCACTTACTTTTCGCCGGATTGTGATCATTGTGTATACATTCCACTCCTCCTTGCCGCAAAAAAAACAAAAAAAAAAAACCTTATTTAACTAACTGTAATATCTTTAGGTATGTCTCTTTTATATTTACTGTAAAAAATAAAGCAACATGATTAGAAACTGTAATCGAATCAAATGTGTCACTATTCTGATTCACATTATTTTACTAAACTATAATAAAAGTAATGGTATTTTGTTCTGTTTTTTAATATAGTGCTTTATCGTAACACTAAAATGATCCATTGTGGCACCAAGTATTCTATATAGTAAATTAAATACTATAAAAAACAACGTTTGCTTTATGGATTTGTGATAAGTACAGATGAATCTGGTTACTAATTGACATATTAAATAATGTCATTAATATATTCTATAGATTTTATACTTTTGCAAGCAGTAGATTGAATCATTTTTATTTTTAAAAGATTTTAAAACCAACACAAATATAACAAAAATTACTATATTATTATGGATGCTACAAAATAAAGAAAAGTGTTTCATAAGACCAAGATTGGTATTGCATGTCACAATTAGAGAGAATATTATTGTTAAAGTATTGTCTATAATTTTTATTATAGAGTTTAAGTCAGAACTGTCATCCTTCTCTTTACTGGTGTATATAATCACGGTTGCCACTTGAAAATTTTTTCTTGTACCAAAATTGGTTTAAAAAGGCACCATTTCTGTAAAAAAAGGTCCAACATTTTTTTGGACCTTTTTATTTTTTCGTTCTGTGTTTTTCATAGTGTTATAAATGAGCAAAATATAAAATAGTGCAAAGTTGCATTTATAAAAAAAATTAATTGGAAATATCCACAATAAAGTTGGGTCGTCAAAAATGTACCATTTTTTGAACATGAGTACCAAACGAAAAAAAAAGTACCAATTTTGGTACTAAAGTACCATAAGTGGCAACCGTGCATATAATAGCACGGCTATCGCTGCATAAAAATATATCATATAGTGTTTTATATAGAGCATAGCTACTGATTATTATTAGTTCATTTCTTACCAGAAGTTTCACCTTTTATTTAGAGTTTACAGTTATTTTTTACAAAGTCTTTATAAATCAATATATATCGTTTCCTTTTTCTCCTTGCTATAGCTAAGATGTTCGAAATAAAATTTATAAATATGTTATGTTGTGAGAAAACTTGATATAATAGATCACAATAAATATTAATAAATCAAAATATTAAAAATTCTTAAGTCAAGTTGGCCTCATTTATCTTTGCAAATGAAGTTCTCTGCATAACAAACTTAGCACCAATGCACATCTAACTCTATTTATTTCGATAGGATAGAAAATACAAATTAAATTTTATTTAAACATATGAATCATTTATTTACACTGTATAAATCTCATTTTTTAATAAATTCCTTAGAGTTGATTTTATCATCAATATTCAATCCTTTCCTAATGAATCATTTTGTGTCCTGTGCACAAAACCTAATATTCATATTTATATTACAGTGAAGAGAATCATATGAATAAATAGATATGAAGAAGTATCAGTGCAAAACTTAATAAAATAAAAATTTTCTTTATAATTCCCACACAACTGCCTCTGCAGTCATTCTCCTACCACACCGTTAAGCTTGATTTATTATGCAAAATTTCAAGCAGACGAATCTGGAACTTCTGATGCCTGTCTCAGGTTTGTGATTTATATCTTCTACACTTCATTGATGCGTCAAAGGCATATATGTGTCGATGTCAGTCAGTTTTTCTTACTCTTTCGTTTATGTTATACAAGTTTATTTATTTATAGTAAGTATGTAAGTATTTTTATAAATGTCTGCATAATATGTAGATTATTATATATATGTTATGTATGTAGCACTTCGTTTACTTATTTATTTACCCATCCAAAGGAATATGCCGGCAATTTATTTATTACTCATTCAGCTGCAAAATTGTTCCTTAATTGCCCATATCAGCCGAAATGAAATTTATTACCTGCTGTGTTACATGTTCCTTCACTTTATCATTCATTCCGCATTAAAAGTGCGCTTGACATGGAGTGGAGTTGAGTTGAGTTCAGTTAGTTGTACTGGGTTGCTATGTTGGCTTCTTCTACTACTACTACTACTAATAATACTACTTCTTCTTCCATTTGTTTCACTTTATGTATTTATGTTTTTAATATAGGTTTTTATTTTGTGTCCTACCTTTTGACTTCAGTTGAGTTCTTAATTTTCCTTTTAGATTTTTTATGCCGATTTACCATACTCCACAGCATCTGTGCTTCAGTGCTTCTGGTTGGTGGATCAAAAGACAAATTTGTTGAATTTTTTTTTTTTCTTTTCTATTTTGCTTTTTACTCAGCGTTTGGTAATGTAGCTACTAACCTTGACCAGGTCAGGTGGAGTATGCACTAAGGTTATATTGATTTGTCCTTTGATCTTATGGTCGACTTGTGACATGATTAAATTTTTACTTGATTTGTTGTTCTCCCATTTGCGGAATGCAGTTAATTTTATAAAATACTGCTTTGGAAATGTGCAGTGGAGCAAGCGCAACCAGCACACCTTCCGTTGGATATCGTTGGATGTCGTTGGATTTGTCGCCACAGTTTGAGGTGTTCGTTCCTCCTTCTTCGGCTTTGTCAATTTGTGTGCATGGAGTAATCAAGTTTTGGTTACTTACATTATTTATTGATTTTCCTTTATTCGTTCTCAGTTCGCATAGTTTATAAGGATATAGATAGATAGCTATATATTAAGTTGCTCTAAAATCAAAAAATAGACTACGTCATTGTGCTTTTATCTTGGTTCGCTGGTAGATAGATGGCTTGTATGCTGGAAACTTAATACTTTTTTTATTCTTTGTTGTATTGGCCAATGTGGCATTCTTGCTGTGTTGGCATGATTTTCAATATGGTCACGAACATTTTGCTCTATTATGGGCGCCATTTATTTTCTCATAAAGATGTAAAGTTTTTGTTATTTTTGCAAATATAGGTACGTAGAGTTCATGCTTGATATTTTAAAAGACTGCACTTCGTGATGTTGCACCGCAAAAATAAACGAATATTTAGAAAAAAAAACAAAAAATGAAGTGTTCAACCTGATATGATTTTTGTTTTTTATGTAAAAAATTTTTTCTTTTGAAGAATATTTAAAATTGTAATGAAGGATATATAGTAACTACATGAACACAAGGTATAAAATGAACTGTAACCTTAAAATTAACTTAAAATGCTATTATGGATTCCACACCTTAAAAATCTTAAGTAAAATATTTTTTATATGTACAAAATTACACATTCTTCAAATAACCAACCAAATAATACTAATAAAACTTTAATTCAATAACAAAAATTTCTTTTTCAAGGATATAAAGATTATTTCTTCCTAAAAAAAATGCACTTATTAATCTTTTCAATGACATTTTGTAAACCCACATTTTCCTTTTCTTTTCGGTGACACAATTATCCACAAATTGATTACGAGTGTCTCTGGAAAATGCTCTTACTTTAACTGATAATAGACAAATACCAGATTGTTTAATTAATTTAATTGTCATTTAATTACGCTTTCCATTTAATTAAAATCATTAAGCGTTAAATAGGAACCAAAGCAGTGTACATGAAGAGTTTCAATGCGATATATGGCATGACTTTGGAAAAAGTTTTCGTACTTTCAGTAGCAGAAATTAGTAAAATAATAAAAAAAGGAGTACTTAAAATTCATTGAGATTGAGCTGTCATGAGTATAAATTTGAAATATATTGACTCTGCTCTATTCATGTACATAGTCCGCAAATAAAGAAGATATTTAATTCAACACAATTTTTAATTGATTTTATAAGTAATAGATTTAAATATCAAGGATACTCAAGTTTGAATGTAAAGAGTATTTAATAATTAAAAGCTTCATTCATTAATATTAATTTAAATTATCAATTATGTATATCATAATTTAAATAATAGTTTTAAGAGATTACAATGATTAAAGTTTTTACTTATTTCTATTGCCTTGATAGCTTTGTAATTAAGCAATGAATGTATATATATATATTATAGTATGAAGAATACGTATTTTAGCACATAAAAGAATAACATTATATATTATTAGTGTTATTTAAATTAGTATTAATATTTAATATATGTATTTTTCAAGTAAGCTTTTAGGATAAGATGACTTATTTTGGTTTCTGTTTAAAAAAAAAAACAGTACTAAAAAATTAAACAAAATATAACTGTACTTACTTTATGATAAAAATTAATTCGATTAGTTAAGAAGAATAATACTCACTTCACACGACACGAGTTAATGTTCATTAACTGCTCAATCCCCTTAAGTTGTTGCTGTTGTATATGCGTTTGATATTTTCAAAATATCTATAGAACCTTCTTAGAGAAACCAAATTAGGTTTTCACTCAAAATTGTTTATTTTTCTTTTTTTTTCTTTTCTCATTTCTTCTTTTCTCATTTCTTCTTTTCTCATTTCGTTTCTGTTTTCTGCCGAAATTAATTGTTGTTGCATCATTGCTTAATTGTTTCTTATTTTTTATATGATTAACTCAAATGCATCTGTAAAAATGCTGTGTGAATACGTGCATCCCTCTTATTGCGTTTTTGATTAGTGAATCTGGATTCAATCTAGATTTACTATTGATCAATAAAATTTTAATGCCCAATTAAAAGTTTTCAGAGTGTTGTAACATGTGTCGAATCAAATCACAATTAATTTGTCAAGCCACATAAAACAGCTGTTAATTTCAGAGTAATATTGCTACTCTGGTGAAATATCTGAAGTGTTATATATTTCGCTTGAGATTCCCCAATCAAAAATGTGAGTTGCACTAAAAGTGAATCTTGATTAAAAAAGTTCTCCAGACTTACCAATCGTAAACTGCAATATTATAAGAAGTTTTTGAACTAAAAAATCAAATTAATATTATAAAAAGACTATATTTGACTAACTGCATTTGATGTATATGCAACAAGAGTTGATATAATATAGTTATATATAGTTACAGTATAATAATTTATACTCCTACAAATACTGCTTACAGTACTGCGTCGCACCATTATAATTTAAAATGAATTTTAAATAAAATAATTGACTTAATGTCAAGAATGACTCTTAAATTCGCTTGTCATGACATTTGAAAATCATAAATAATAAGGCAAAATTTCAACGCATTGAAACTACACTGAAACTTTTATCAAAACCAATTACACGCATTTAACTTGTTGCAAAAGTTGTTTATTTATTGCAGTGTACGTTGATTTCCTTTTATTGTTGGCGTTGCCACTTAATCATAAAACTTCTCGAAACTCCTTAAAAGATTTGTGCACCAACTTTGTGTTTACACAACTTTCACAAAAGTAGCTGCTTTTAGTGCTGACACAGCAACTTCCTATGACATGTCAAATAAACGTTTTCAGCACAGTTTAAAAATACAAACCAACGAACAAACAAATTGACAGGTTTTCAGCAACAACAAATTGCAAAATGAAATAATAATAATAATAATAATAATAAAAATAATAATAATACTAAAATGAAATTGGTAAGCTTCGGTAGCGATTACAATGGTGCTGACTTGACTGTCCAAGTTAGTACAGAGTCAGTCCATGGTGAGTTCGCAATTGCCTAGACAGCTGTCATTATTATTTGTTGGAAATTACATTGTAAAGAGCTGCTGACTGTGCTATTTTCTCTATGGCGGCCTTAAACAAAAAATGGCGGCATTTTTTATTTGCAGTGTTGTATTTATGCAGAGAAGAATTCTTCACAACTGCAAGTCAATAGTTGAAGTTGAAAATTTTTCTCGAGTTGACATTGCAACCTAAAATAAAGATTTTGACATTCATTACTTGACAAGGATATCCGTTTGACATTTTAAATTTCATGTGACATATGCTGCGTTTACAAAAAAGGGACGTACCACTACTTATATTTATTATGCATCTTGTAGGTAACAATGTCAACCACTGCAACAATTGCAAATGCGAATCTAACGCATCTAAGCCAACAGGTGAACCAAGTTAAGTTTTGTGGCTAAATGTCAATTAGTGTCACTAAGTTGCTATTGCTGCCAGATCCTTAATTGCACATAATTGTTGCGGTGGTGAGAGTTTTAAGTGGTTCGAGGTTATGTAGTATACGTATGCATATATAAATTTTTAACAAGGATACACATTCTTCTTACTGTGCCATCTTACACGTGCACTATAAGCAGTAAGTAAGTTTCGTTTCCTTTCTTTTTTTTTTGTGACTTGTTAACACTATTTTGTGCCCCAGTAATTGTGTTTAGTGTGAAAATGAAGGCTTTGACGGTTGGAACATCTATTATGAGCTGTTGTATGCTGCCAGTAGGTTGGTTGAATGTTAGCTTTTAGGTCTTGTTTACTACGCTCCCTGTGGTGCGGTTTTTGACTGGTATGTGCTGCTTTTCAAATTTTCAAATTTTCAAAATTTCAAATTCCACATTTTACATTTCTGCTACCTTTTTTGCACTCAAAAAAAAACAAAATGTGTGCTTTAATTGCACATTAAGGCTGGCTATATGTGCCAAGCAGTTAACCTAAATAATTTTTTGAGTTGAAAAGTGCCATTCAAAAATGCATGTACCCACTTGTATGAGGTAAAAGTTTGTTAGGATTTTTTTTTTGTTACTTTTTTTCTATTCTATACCGCATTGAAACCACCAAGCGAATTTTGCATTGTAGGAAATATGTAACGTGCTGGCTTGCCCTGTTTATAAGAAGAAGCAAGGCACTATTCCTTTAGTAGATCTCTGCCCTACTATTACTCGGTATTCATAGAAAATCGTTACAGTCACAATTGACACAATTTTAAAAGCCAAATATAATAAGCACAAAAAGGAGTAAAATGCAAATTTAAAAGTTCTTAATATGAAATTTTATTGCTTGACAAATTTTTATTATTAATAAAAATGCAAATTCTTTCAGCTTTGAGTTTGTACTTAACACAAAATAATTTTGGTCAATTAAAAATGTTGTTCCATTTTATAATAATTATTATACATTTGTTTAAATCCTTAAGATTGAATTGAATTTATGGAAAATGTGCTTATTTAAGAGCTTTCATTTAGAAGTTGGCAACATTTTTTGTAATTGGCAAGTTTTTTTTAGCAATTATAGAGTGATCTTTATTAATTATGGAAATAGACTTTGGTGTGACTTATGGATTGGTGAAACAATTGAACTAGAATTTTTCAAAGAATTATATTATTGGTAGAAACGTTTCGATTAATGGGAGGTGCAATAGATCCGTAGTTAATGACTTGTTTGTTTTCCAATTAAATCGTTTTAATACACATAAATATTGGTCTCAACAATAGTGTCCCACATATCACACAGCGCTCAACAGTAACAGATTATTGCATGGAATGTTTGATGTATATATAATACATCAATGCGATCATATGATCTCATCTCTCTAGCGTTTTTTCTGATCTAATGTGAAATTACTCCCTCTTGAAAAACTACATTCTCAGACTTTTTGTTGACATACGATGTCATATGCTAAAAACAATTTAAAATTTTGGATTACGTTTCGATCAGCAGCAAAAATAAAATGCTCAGAGTCCTAATCAAATATTAATGGTATTTCATTATCTTTTAAATAAAACTATTTTCAGGTGCATTATACTGTTATCAATATTCAATTTCCATTGATTTCATTGACTCCATGACTTGTTTTTATAACAAAGTATATTGTTAATTCGGTACACATAACGTAGATACTCTAATAGTTAGAGGTGTTTCTTTTTGTATGTAACCAAATATATTATTCGAGAATTTTAAGTTAGTGTGCTAACCATACCTTAATATGGATATTGAATAAACTAACTTCATTGAAAAAATTGTACTAAAGCATGTCATACATAGTCATGTCATATGATAGTTGACCAACTCTTAATTCAAATGTATGTTTTGTGCAGTGATATTGCAAGGAGTATGACAGTGCTAACAACAGTATTGATGAATAAAATTGTAGTTATGCTTAAATATTTATTGGTAAACTTTTTTTATATTTTTGTAGATTATAATAATGATTCAATAAAGCCAATACTATCCCTGTTATGTTTTATTCGTTGAATATTAAATATAAATAATTTTTTCCTACACTAATCAAAGCAAAAAAAAAAA